ACATACCACCGGCTTGGCTTGCAACTCACCCCACACTCAGTGTCTCAACCTCCCCTGTCGTGCTGGGGTAGGATACTCGCGGGAAGCGGCATGTCATCCGGCGCTACATTCTGTCAACCCAGAAGTGTCCGGGACGCCCTGGCCAGCGCCCGGGTACAGCTCCGACTGAACGGCTTCTGGCATTCGTGTTGCGGTTTTTTTACGCTGACAGGTATTTAACTATCGCCCACGTAACGCCACGCAGGGACGGCTGCCTCCTCTCTGTAACAGCCGACACCGCTGTCACAAAAGCCCAGGCTTTTAGCAGCACATTGCGCCGTGACAGGAAACTGCCAGTGTACCACCGCCCGCCCGATACTCTGCTCATCTTGGCGACATGCCCAACTCGCGTGAAGATGCCTAGGCGTCTGAACACGACCTCGACTCTAACCCCGGCCCCCCCTAGCAAACCGTAATCGAATTTACTATTAACTCTGGGCCCTCACTACCTTATGACGGCCGGCGGCGGTCATCTTTGAAACAGCTAGCAACGCGACATCGCCAAGCCCCCACCATCCTGCCATATACATCATTTCTCATCTGTTCACATCATGACTATCCAGTAGACCGCGAAGGACCTGTCGGCTAGCTCCTAGAGGGCTTCCTAGTCGTGCTGACAGAACCATGCTAGTTCCTACGTTACCTCGAGCAGGCTGGGCGCTTGTAGTCAGCGCTCCTACACATCCCTTACCTGTGCGCGATACATGTAGCCGTTCCGGATACCGGACTACCCAGGGATTTCCGACGGCCAACTTCTGCTGTACCGTGCTACTAACCCGAATGTTTCAATACTGTGACTCTACATCACGAATCAGAGTGCTGGCACGACCCAGGCTGACTCTTAGTCACTATTCACTTCACTCCATTCACTGGCCTCACTTATTTACCTAGATCATCTCACTCTCGACCTCATCGTACCTCGTTCCCTCGAGCAACATCGCTCTGTCGGACCCGAGCCTCACTCTCCGCTCCTCCCATTACAAGCAACATCTATCAGAACATAACTATACCCTACACACACACGCACACAATCCGCCTGCAGACGAAATGACTCTCCGTTTAAATATAATATAAACAGACAAAAAAGCATACACGGAAACAAACACAGAGCACACCTACACTCACATCACATACACGCAAACACACCCATACAATAAATATATAAACACATATCGCCAGCTCATATTCTCATTATACCTCCACCCTCGCAAACGAATGAGCCACCAAACAAACTTCATGGAAAACACATACTACGTCCAAAACAAAAACACAGACAGACAACATATATCCACCTACATACAATCAAACAACAAGACAGAAGATAAAACAAACATACAAACATATCAAAACAGCATCTGCATACATAACTCTCATTACCGGCGCAATATAACATACAATCAAATAAAGAAACAAAAAAGAGACAGCAATGGAAACAAAACAACAGCCCACAGAAGAGGCAAGCTCACAACACATCAGGCTCCCCTCACAAGAAGAGGCTCACTGATGACGGAAGCTCTCCCAGCTTTACAGCCTTGATTGAGGTCCAGTGCCTGGATCTATTATCCACTCAGTGGAGACCACCGTGAGGTCAGCTTGTCGAACCAATGGCAGCCCCCCGATCGATACTCATACAGAGAACGCCTCTGCGTAGTGCAAAGATGTTGGCGTACAGCCGTGACCTGACGACCTAGAACCTGCACGATTCGAGGCCTCCGGAGAGGCATTACGCCACAAGACAAAGCAGAGAAAAAGCCAAGAATTGGGGGAGGAGGAGAGCCCCTGGACCCGCTTTACAACCTTATGAATCATATTACCTCCCGCAGCGTTGATATACTCTTCCCCGACAATGGTGGTGGAGAATTATAGTTAACCTGATTTTGTGGCAAACTACTCCTTACAAAACGTTGGGATCCTTTACTAAATCAACCTGCCACAAGTTCTAGGCTTTTATATTCCCCAGTGCTCAGTCGAACCTATCAGGCCGCGCTATATACGCTTATACTCGGCAACATATCACATTCTGGTTTGTTTAAATCGTAGCTTTTTTTATTAACATCAGGATACAATCCTCCCTCTGGTCCTTTGTACTTTCTTTATATCATCTTTGTCAGCGCTTGACTGGTGTCGAAGCTCAACGAGATTCGTTTGTATACGCTTTTCATAGCACACCACGATCCCAACGCCGCAGCCGCGACACGCACTCGGCCACCACAAACACCGCCCACACCACCCTCCCGATCACCCCCGCCCCGTCGGCGGCAGCGCGGCGCGCGCACCACGGTCATCTGATGGCCGCACCCGCCCTGCCCAGACATTTGTTAAGTCCTGCGACTCTATTATCCACCCAAGTTCGAGACAGCTGAGTCCTTCTGTACAAACCATCATCGCACCCACCGCTCAGACTCGCAGTGATACATGAGCCCCTTGCGTGTGCGAAAATCTTCGCGCGACACGAATAAGATACGCCACCCCCGCCGCCCGGCCTCGCATTACCGCGCCGCCAAGCCAGGAACACTCTGCCCTGCTCGCGCTTTGAGGGCCCTTCAGGTTCGCTGTACTGACCCGTCACTCGCTCTGTGGTAACTTGGCAGTTGCAAATTTGTCCGGCGCGCGCGCCCCGTACCCTGTCACCTCCACCCACATAGCCCGCCTAGGCCCCAACAATGACTAGGAACATGTGAAGGGATGATTCAATACATTTTTTAGGTACAGAGGCGCCCTCTATTTGAAGAAGGGCGCCATGTGTCCACAAAATATTTACGGTTTTGAGGGGCACCCTGATACCAGCATACGCCCGAACCACTTCTACTGGGGCCCTCCTTTCAAGTCCAGGAGGTGTCTCATTTCAGCTCATTATATGAGTAACTGATATCACGATGACATGAATAAGATAAAGTGGTTATAACATATCAGATAGTTCATGGCATGTCAGTACCATCCCTGCCACAAAAGTACTGGTACAATGAAGGTGCAGGTTAGGAGGTTGGCTGACTCTCCATCCCAAACCATTCACACAGTTCAACCAATTGATGATGCCCCAGTGCAGTGAACGAGTCAACAGATCTCTGAATGAGGCAACGACACCTTCTCGATCTGCAAAGAGCAGAAATGCAATTCTCCGAGGTCCCCAAACGGGAGCCAAATACTAGGTTGTCAAGGGGTGTTTGGTTAATGCTATATGGGACGCATTAGTATGTAGCAAAACTAAATTGTACAATGTGGACGTGACGAGGCTGGGCCTATAGCATCACAATCTGTGTGTACGCTAATCAGCTTGTCAAATAGTGTAAAAGGCACTGTAATCACTCTGCCAATTTGATATTCATAAGCACCTTTAGGTTTGCCTGTGCTTACTGAAGTACGATGCAGCTAGCTAAGTCCCAATTGAAAGCAGCCCGGACAAAGACGAACAGGCTCCAAGTCTATGCAGGCGCAGTCTGAGGACAGGGAAGTCGAGGTGTTGCCGGATTTGGCTCCTGGCACCCTGGAGCTGACCCCGCCGTAACCCCCGCTTAGACCTCCAGAGGTGAACGCTGACTTATGCCAGACGGTCTCACATCTCTCCTTCCCCGCCTGAACCCTGCATGTCTTTGTTGTCCCTGGAGCTGCTGTAAATCTCCTCAGTACCGTCAGTCTCAGAGGCTGTTTGGTCCCAGTCCATGTTAATTTTCCAAGTTACTGTAGTTAATGTCATATGCCATCAAGTCTTTCATCAGACAGAAGTGGTCGTGGCTACTGAGGCACACAGATAAATCTCTCACACCTCTCACTGAAACCGGAGGAGACCTGACCAAGGCAGTAATATGAACATGTAATTACAGAAAGGACCGAACACTACAAAATAACATTTAATTTGATTACATTGATGGCATCAAACAACATTTTGGTGCCACTATTTTTGGAATGAAAGCTACAACATTTCTTTCATGTATCATGTTGACCAGTCCAGTAAATCATGCAAATGCAATTTAGAATAATTTCCAAATAGTTTCAACATTCTTTACCCATTAAAAAATGATAAATAAAACCTTGTATAACACATGGGTAGATTGGGCAGTTTTCAGTCCAGTTGCGCTTCTATTAATTTGATTTGGCAGCCCGTACAAGTTTACAGTCATAATTCATTCAATGCAAAAAATTATGACATTGAAGGTCAAGGTAAAACAAATAAGAGATAGAAGCCTACAACAGCCCACAACAGTGAGACAATAATTTCCACACAGTTCAATCAGAACACATAAAAGAGGAGTACATTATAGTAGTTATGACCAGCAAAGCTAAACTGGACCTGGACATCCAAACACTGAATTTCCTGTTCACTTTCTTATCATCCAGAACTCCCTTCCTGTTCCACTGCTTAGGAAAGCATTAAGGCAAATACTATAAACACAGAATCAACATAATGCCTGATCACTCTTACAGTTTAAAGGGTTTATTCAACAAAACTAGAAAAAAAGCATGTTTTATTCACCAGATTTGAGATATGTACTCAACAGTTTTTATAGGGACTATGACGTGATCAGGAGAGTGGACCCTAAAATCGTAATGACACTGTCCACCTGAATCCCATCAGGAACTAGGCTTAAGAAGTACATCAGTTATTGTGACATAGCTATTTATGGTTTTAAACTGTATTGTACTTATCTCCAAGTTATGAATCTGACGACTGTTTAGCATTAAGTAAGAAACAGAAAGTATCAGTGAGAGGATGCAGGCAGCTGGTTAATGATTTTTTTTAAATGTTGGTGGACGAGAACAACCTTTCACACATGTGTTAATAATGTGTTCCAGAATGTACAGAAGTATTTTTGCTTTCGTGCTTCAACACAGAAAACTCAAAGTAGAGCCTAGTTTTAAAAAGTCATTCTGATACTAACTCCAAATACCTAATATGTCAGTATTTTCTGTCTTCAATGACCTTGAAAAAGTGATTTGTTTATTGCTCTCTTTCACTCTGCTAGGGATCGGGAAGTTCATTGCTCTGGACTTTGCACGTCGTGGGGCCCGTGTTATCCTGGCCTGTCGAAGTGAGGCCCGGGGGACAGCAGCCCTTAAAGAAATCAGGGAGAAATCAGGAAACTCTGACATCCATCTGCGTCTGGTGGACCTGTCTTCTCTGGATTCTGTCAGGGAATTTGCAAAGGGGGTTCTTGAGGAGGAGAAAGCTCTCCACATCCTCGTCAACAATGCTGCAGTATCAGGTGACACATCTGTTTTAAAATTTTTGGGAGGCCACAAATACCAACCAGAGTTAACTTCATTATGTGAACAAACCAAATCTTCTTTTCACATGAGCTAGTAAAACATTGAAAGCATTATAAAGAATGGGAATAACATTGAAACCCCAAAAAGAACATCCAGTCTGTACCCATCTGGCACACATCTGGAGGAAAAGAGCAAGACGTGCCTCTACTAATTACATCAACAAAGATTTAGTTTCTTAGAGTTAGGGCCAGGGTTAGTTTTAATGTTTAGAGAATGCATTATGTCACAAATGTGTTTGTTATATGTGCAGGCAGATATAATCTATTTTTAAAAACCTAATTGCATTAAAACTACTATCAGGGTTACCCAGGCAGATAACCAAAGATGGATTGGAGGTTTCTTTTGCCACTAACCACCTGGGACCATTCCTTCTCACCAACCTGCTGCTGGGTAAGACTTTCTTTTATCTTTATTTAATACAGCAGCATTATTCTGCATACGAAATGATGATTTTACAACTGCCTATCATTGCCATGATGAGTATTTTGTGTTTCATTGTCCCTCTCTCCTTCTCATCTCTCACTCTGCATGTCTCTGGGTCTTTTCAGACCTGATGAAGCGTTCCACTCCATCGCGAATTGTCACCGTCAGCTCAGTCAATCATAGACTGGGTCAGGTGGACTTCTCTCATTTTCATGGCGAGAACCTCACTTATTTCATGGATAAAGTCTACAACCACACTAAGCTGCACAATATCATCTGTACCAACGAGCTAGCACGCAGGCTACAAGGGACAGGTAGGCTACAATCAAGAATTTTACGATTATCACCCATTTGTATAATGCATGGTCTTCTCTGCTGGATAAGTACTGCAGAAGATGTAAGACAATGCAAATGAGAAGCAATGATAATGGATGGATGATGATCTTAAAATGTTGGTGTCATTTGGATTGAAATGCACATTTTCTGCTACCAACAATGTAGATTAGTAAACAAGATGTCTTGGGTTCCTCTCTTGAGAAGAAAACACCCAGTAACCAAAAAGGAAAAATTCACCTTTAATACTTTTGACTAAATAAGGTGTCCTTTTTGTCATTAATCATTTTATATATTGGATGTCGTAACATTGGGCTCATAGCTCAACTCTTTTAGCATGACTGTATGTAACTTGTTTTATGAACCTCTCTTCCCAAGATCAAGTTTGTTTATGCATCTCCAGCTTCTCTCTTAGTCAAACACTCAGTGGCTTGATCACTCCTCAGGCTATATAGTATGTTTGCTCTGTTCTACAAACAGATACAAAGTCAATTTTTCAGAGAAATTAAAAGAGAAAATAAACTGAAAGTGAACTTATAGTCAGGCTCCATTAAGGACGCAGATGATCGCAATCATCAAGCTTTTATCAAAGCATTGCAAAGCTAAAACAAATTTTCCACTTTTGGGTCATTTGTAAAGAAAATAACATTCTACAGGAATATTTGCATTCAAGGACTTGTTGAGACTGGCCTTGTTACAGCTTCTTGTTTCTTTCTGGACCCTGAATTTATGTGTTTGTGTGTTCCTCTTTGTGTTTGTGTACATGCAGGTGTCACCGCAAACTCTGTGCACCCTGGTATTGTCATGACAGAAGTGTTGAGACACTATCCATTTATAATTCGTTTTGTTTTCAACCTCATTGGAATTTTCTTTTTCAAGGTGAGTACAATTTTGCAGTCAACATGATTTCGTCACTGCCATCTCATCAGTTTTGCAACCGTCCAGGTCGAATATGATTGGCTACTGTTCAAGAACTGCCTCTTGTTATATAAATGCACTCACTCAATTCGCTGGCTTTGCAGCGTAAACTGATAGATTTGGTTTCTATCCAATGGCATGTAATACCAAGGCCAATGTCAATACCAATATTGATACTTTTCATTGTTAAAGTACTATCATGTAAGAGATCAAAGTGAATGATCACTGCACACACACAACAGCAGCAGAGATGCACATATTGCAGCAATAAGAACAATGTGCATGTGCCCAGGAGGTCATCTAAAATTTGGTGGATCCATTTGTTTGGTATGGATCCTATTGACACTGTTATTGGTACTCAAATCAAGACTTGACACAGTGATACATTGGAGATCGATCCACATCACAAGCCAGAACACAAGCTCAATGTGCAAATCAGATCTCTAGTTGGAAATCTCATAAAAACAGGTTAAAGTATTACCAAATGTTTCACAGTTCATCAAAACAGTTGTTGGTATGAACTCAATTTCTTTAATTTCTGTTTTTTACTGTACTCGAAATGCCAGTGATTTTTTTGTGGTTTTTGTTTTGGCTCTGCTCTCCACTGCACATTGGATCATCCTGAGATCCCTAGTTTTAGATGTTTTAGATTTACCACTCAAAATTCATATTTTTTTAAATAATGGTTCCTTTTTTTTTTAACTCTGAGACTGTTGATTTTAAAATCCCCAGATAAGCGGAAGAAAATTAATGGATTATGGATATAATAATATAATTATTTAATATTGTACTCACAAAAGTAATTGCTGAGACCTGGGAACACATATATCACTACAATGTCAGACGGGGCAAGAAGCTTCAGCACTGACACAACCAAACGTTACCTTAGAATAAGGCTAGGGAGTGGGTTGAGTCCGCCATGTTGAACCACCATGTTTCTACAGTAGCGCAGAACAGACAAACCAAACACTGCCTCTAAATAAGGCCTTTCACGTTACCCACGAGTTTCACAGCCACCGTAGTTTGTTGTTTGAAACGGGAGGGTGAGGCGAGGGAGTTCTAATTCTCCAACTTTACTGCTAAATGCCACTAAATCCTACACCTTTACTAGCTTTAAATGAGTCAACAGTTCAGCCATATTAGCTATCCGATCTTATTTGGAGGTGAAACTCAGAACGCACCAATAATGTTGCTATTCCAACATTGCACATAAATCTTTCTCTGTGAAAACTGTGTTGCATGTTCAGCTAAGAAGCTGTTCTGTAAACTGATGATCAACAGATCTCAAGACAAGTTATAAATCAGAACTCTCCTGTAGGCTCACAAGACTTGTTTGTTTTTTAATTTGAACTCCAAACTCCTGGTGCGAATGGAACAACGGACTGCAATGCACTTTACATTGTTGTTGTGTGTTTATACAAAGTCTTGTTTCCTGGAATCCACTGTTAACACTGTACGGACTGCAATGCATTTTACATTGTTGTTGTGTGTTTATACAAAGTCTTGTTTCCTGGAATCCACTGTTAACACTGTTAGCACTTGTTTTCATATCCATGCCATGTACATTAGGCCACGCAGTTCAGACATCTGGGATCCATTATTAGCTTTTTGTGACGGGTCTGTTTCACACTCAGAGTTTTAACGCTTGACCTAGCCTGTACCCAACTGGTGCATCTGTGATGTTTATCTGTATGGGCAGACTATGCTGAACAACTGGTTATACTAGACAGGGCAAACTTTACAAAACATTTTTTTTTGACCGACTCTAACGTTTCCTCTTCACCATCCTTGTCTCCCTCTCAGTCTTCAGAGGAGGGCGCTGTCAGCTCAATCTACTGTGCAGTAGCAGAAGAAACAGAGGGAATCACTGGGAAGTATTTTGACAGCGACTGCTCCCTGGTTCTCCCCGCCCCTTTAGCTCGAGACGCTGCCCTCGCGGTCAAGGACTTTGAGATCAGCGAGAGAGTGACATCAAAGCTCTGAGGCAACTATCAGGCAAATGGAGGCTTGATAACAGAAAAGGGGTCAAATTCTACCCTCTTACTGCACTTCTTGAGGGAACAATTCTGAAACAGTATGTTTTTTCAAATCATCAGGTGGAGGTTTTTTAATATATTTTTAGGAGTAATTTGAGAGAGAGAAGCACAATTGAATCATGTCTTTATTATTTGCCTGCATTGGTGTGAATAATAGGACAAATGTGGTTAATCACTTAATACTTAAAAGTAATGGTCAGTCATGTTGTCTGAGTCATTCATGAAAATGATGAATATGTTTTCTTATTTGTAAGAAAGTCCTGTGACTTTTATTCAGGTATGTTACTGAGTGAAATGAAAGACTTTCCTAAGAGAGATGCTGACACCATGTGGTCAACTCAAGCTAACATGATTCCTCAGAAACGACAACAGAAGCTCCAATAAGTGACACAGTTACTTCCCTTTATTGACTTGATTCATTCAAACACAATAAAACATTTTAGAATTCAGTGCTTTTTGAAGAATTTGTACAGCGTTCATCCATTCCTGGCTTCAGCCTCACTATTTGGCTGCAGAGACAGAGATAGTGAGAGAACAGCGTGGTTACCAAAGAGCTTTTTAATCATAACACTGTCACTTGTATGCATCTACTAATCATTTAGAATCATAGGATAATAAAAGAAGATATGTGTGTCCAGTGCTGTAGGTGTTCAAAGAAGCTTTTTTAACAAATGTGTCTCACTACATACCTTTCTGGCGTTCCTCCACTATGTCGTGGATGATCTCTTCGAGCACTGGAGCCACATGATCCAGCTGTTTGGGTGAAAGGCGGATGGCAATCTCCACTGTTTTATCCTGAACACACAAAAGAAGAAGTGGTAATGGCTTGTACTTAATGACACAATTGTCAGCAACATTATTGAGCGTGAAGATGGTGTGTGTGCGTGCGCTCACAGGATTTCCACCACGCTCCGCCTGAGGAAGCTGTTGGACTGTAACCTCTTCAAACTGACCATCCTCCGATCGGGGCTCCATGTCCTTTCTACCTTCCCGCTCCTGCAGCACAGGCACACAAACACAAAACACACATATTTACACAAGAATGAAAAACTACTGGAATATAGACTTGATGAATACTACCACTGGTCATTCTTTCATTATACTCAAGTATGAAGAGCTGCAATGAAGTCATTCATCCCTTATCAATGAACTGCTTTGTTTTCTGAGACACAGACCATTTATCAGTTTCAGATACTGATTTGGCTCTGAGGACACAACCTCCACGACCTCCACATGAGCTATTTTTTGTTTTATGTAACTTCATCATTCAAACTTCACAGAACTAAAACACCGAACGGTAAAACTCATGAGAAGTGTGGGTCTGAATTTCTCAGTCCATCGTTTCTGTTGGATAAAAAAGGAAAAAATATTCCTCAATTTTTTAAAATCACTCAGTATTGATGTTTGGTTTTTTTTGCTACTTGGGCTGTAACTAATAACCATTTTTTTTTAATTCACATTCCAGTTTTTTCCCCCAGTTAAGATGAATCGTTTGGAATATTAAATGTCAGAAAATAAAGAAAAATGTCTATAACAATTTTATAAAACCCTATCTCAAGTCATAAAATTGTTTTGTCCAACTAAAATGTTCAATTTTCTGTAACAAAAGACAAAGAAAAAGAACAAAAGCTGGAAAAAAGGAAAGTATTTAATAAATATTTGCTGATTATTTTAAATCTATTCGTTACCAACAGTAATGAAAAAATCATACATAACCAAAACGGATGCTCATTCAGTAAATACAATATAATGTAAATCTAATGAGACTTAATTACACAGCCATTACCATTAGACTGTCACTCAGCCCTTCTTTTTCACCGTCCAATCAAACACAAGCTACTTACCTTCATCAGCATCATCTCCTTTGGGCTGAAGAAGGTGATGTGTCCCTCTGTCCTCTCTGCCAGCAGCGCCACCAGGCACGCCAGCACCACACAACCAGCCACTGCTCCGCGCATGCTCATTCTTCTTCGTCCTGGACATACACACACACACGCATACTGTACATTGCTATACACACAGAACAGTGTAGTTTCATGCAGTGGTGTGGCAGTGTCAGTGTTTCCACATGAACAGGGGTGAGCGACACTGAGGTCAGGCCACACAGAAATATTTAGCAGTGGGAAAGAGAGGCGACAGTCAAAATAGGTCAACATACAGTATTTGACATGAGGTTCAGTGTGTGTGTGTGTGTGTGTGTGTGTGTGTCTGTGCTAGAAACAATAACTGAGTTTAAAGGAAGAAGGACACAGGGGATCCCATGTCATTATGCAAGGGAGAGGTTGACGAATAGACAGTAGGGGAAAAGAGAGAGGTGGGAGGAGGGGGGAGAAGCATGGAAGTAACAAACTGCTCCACTGACAAGCGGGATAAGAGGCCGGACTTACTCTCAACAGCAAGACAGCTCTGTACACAAACGTAAGAGAATGAAGACAGGACGTCAAAGAGGAGAAAGACAAGAGTAAGAGAAAGCCCAGAGAGACAGAGGAGCTCAAGAAGCTCTTCGTTACTCACGTGCTGTGTCAGCCTTTGTCAGTTTCTGAAGGAAGTGTGCTTTAAGATGAGCAGAGCTCTACCGGTCTGAGCGTCAGCTTGTCCCAGTCAGCCTTTATATCAAGCCCTCAACTGATCTCTGAGCTTTTTTACTGTCCTCCCTCACATCCGCTCCTCAATAGGCTTCTTCAAGCACTCTCCTCCATGCTCCTTGGAAACACACATATTGTTCAGGAATCTGGCTCTTTATTGGGGCAGTAAGTTCACGGTGCTATATGTATTTAGGCCTTTGACAAGATTGACAAAGGGACACATTGATGATCAACCCTGTGGTGGCTGCATATTATTACAGGATGCGTATGGAAGTGATTATTTGTAGATCTGGATGAGCCCTCTTAGAACACAAAGAAATCACTATTCAGCCTCATTTATGTATACTGATATTATCACACAGGACAGACAAAAACAACAACAACAAAAAAGGATTTCTTTCCTTCAAACAACTGAAGAAGAAAACTAACTCATCCATAACTCATCTTAAAGTAGACTACTGCTAACTGAAAAGAAAAGTTCAATCAGTCAGTCCTGTATGTGAGTTAAATACTGAAAAAGATGCATGTGATTCATATACTGGACTTCACTGTGTGTGTGTGTGTGGCAGCCAGGATACAATCTGTCCAAAGAGGTCAGTCATAAATTCTCTGCTCTAAACTAATATCCAACACAATGTGACATTTATGACCTGCTAGTAATTTATACTTGTGTACAAACAGACCCACATGCATCCGTTCCTTGGAAACAAAATGACCTTTATTGATGCTTTTTCCTAAATATGACACTTGGTCGTGCAATGTTCTCTCAGGCTGGATTCATACTGCCGTCAGAATACTCTGCAGGAGTGGACAATTTAAAATATTGCCACCACTGTGTCTGGTTTATTGCAATTTGAGTACATGAATACAGCTTTGTATATCACATGTAGCACTTTCTTGTAACGCTACCCGAATGACGCACAGCTCTCTCTACAGTTTTCCATCACCAAATGTTTTTATAATGGGTCCAGTAAAGTACTATTTTCAAGCTTTTTTGTTTTTTAGATCCACAAATCTTCATGATGTATGTGAGTCACAAAAGTAAACGATATGTAATAGTTTAAAAATAGATTTGTACGTTTTTAAATCAACCTTATAGTCAGTGTTTTATATATAGTATTCTGTATTTTATTTATTGTCAGCAAATCACAAATCCCATAAAAAGATAAAACCCAACAAAGAATCCTAACAAGTAGACAAAGCTTAATATAGTTTATTCCTCTGTCATAGTATTATAAGTATAAGTATAAGTATAAGTATTTTTATAACTGATTAAATTTCTTTAAGCAAAAACAACAAAAGTTCACTGATCTTCTTTCTTCTCTGTGATGATTGTAAATTGAATATCTTATATCGGTTTTGGACTGCTGGTTGGACATTCGAAGAGGTTACGTTGGGCTCTGAGAAAATGTGATGGAAATTTTCTATTCATTTTATAGATTAAACAATAAACAAATCAATCGAACAAATAATTAAATTAATTAGTCAGTTGCAGCCCTAGTACAGACCTCCTTGGGTCTAAAAACAGTAAAAACAAATAAATATAACTACACATTAGTATATGGGCTTAGTCCAACATATATGTCCTGCTGCCATAAATACCCACTAGTGTATGTGTAATAATCTGTGGCTGAAAATAGTCCCCAACAAATGCACAGTTTACTCCTGTTTGACTAACGCTTACAGAGCCTTTACCTAACACTGACTGATATTTGTGACCCATCTTCACACCCCATGGCTCAAAAATACAGGTGTTTGGACCCCAGGGTGTATCCTGCCTAATCCGATTCAGATTCATACTTTATTGTCCTCAGTGGAGGAAATTTGTTTT